CCCAAGGCTCAGGCTCATGGAATCAGGGAATTCCAGACTGGTCTGGGTGGGAAGGGGCCTTAAAGATGATCCAGTGCCAGGGACACCTCCCCATATCCCAGGTTGCTCCAAGCCCCCTCCAGCCTGGCCTGGGACACTCCCAGGGATGGGGATTCCACGACCTCTCTGGGCTTCCCAAGCTCCTTTCCTCCATCCCGAGTGAAATCCATGGAGAACCAAACCCTGGATTGGGATGGTTCAGAGGACAAGGGTCCATCCTCTCCTTGCCTTTTTTCCTGGCACGGGGAAAACTCCCCTGTGCGCTCTGGGAACCTCTGGGCACTTTGGGAACCCGCAGCGAGGAATTCCAGGCCCTCACATCCAAGTCTTCCCCCTTCCCAAGGAGGAACAGAGGCTGGAGAGGCTCTGGAGCAGGAAATCGCTCCTGGAGCGCTGGTGGGTGTACGAGACGTGCCAGGCTGCCTCATTCCATGAAATCTGCTTCCCATTAAAGAGCAGCCGGAGCTCTGGAGCCCATTAAATGCTACTTTTCAGTACCAGGCTTTGATTCCAGCTGTTTTGTTTTTTATGGACGGGGAGCCGAGAGAGGGAAAGGGGAATAAAAGCGAGGGGAAAAAAAAAAAACGGCCGCTGGGTCGGAGGGTGGAAAAAAAACCCCCTCAGGATTCCAAACACACCTTCCCTGCTCCTCCAGCCCCCTTTGGAAAAGCCCTCGTGGATGGATCAGCCTCTTCATCACCTCGGTGTGATGGAGATTCCAGACTCCCCGCTTGGAATGGGCCTGATCTGTGCTCTGGGAAATGTGGGGTTTGAACTTCCCTGGGAATGATGGGCCGGGAGCAGGGATGGGGATCCTGCATCCCAAAGGCCTCAAAACAGGGATAAACGGGGTGAAACGAGTTCAGAGTTCGTTAATTAGGAAGGAATTGTCTGCTCTGAGGGTGGGGAGGGGCTGGGATGGAATTCCCAGAGAAGCTGTGGCTGCCCCTGGATCCCTGGAAGTGTCCGGGGCCGGGTTGGAGCAACCTGGGAGAGTGGATTTTGGGATTAAAGAGGATCCATTTGCCCGTGGTGGAAAGGGACCTGTGCCGACCTGGAGTCATGGAATCATGGAATGGCTTGGGAGGGACCTGAAAGCCCATCCAGTGCCAACCTCTGCTGTGGGCAGGGACACATTCCCTTATCCCAGGTTGCTCCAATGTGACCATTTCATTCCCAAAATGAAACATCCCTTCAAAGGGAGCAAAGCAAGGGATGGGAGCTGCTGTTCCATCTTATTCCTTTGGGAATAACAGTTTAGTGTCTGTTCCCACTGAATTCCTGCAGGGAATTCCTGCCCTTCCAAGGGGAGCAGAATTCCCTCCCTTCCCTCCAGCGGGGCCCTTGGAAAAGCGGCTCATCCCTTTTTCCAGCCTCTGCATCTATTTTTAAGCCTCCCAGGGATGAGACCGGACAAGGAATTCAATCCCAGCTGCGAAGGGAAACCGGGAGGGAAGGTGCCAAGCAGACTTTGGGCTCGGCTTTAGGCACCAGCCCCGCTCCTAAATGGGTTCCAGACGAGGAGGGACCCGCCGGGTCCCACAGCTGGGCCTCCAGATGTGCCACCCACCCCCTCCCTGGGACGCTTCCCAGCCTCTCCGTGCTCCCGGTGCCGGGAGGATCCCGGGATCGGAGGTGCTGACGTGAGGGGGGGGGGGTTGGTTGGTGCTCCGGCCCGGCCTCTGGAGAGGTGATATTTTTGGGTGTGGGGAATGTCCCGACAGCTCGTTCCGGGTGAATCAGCGGCAGCTGCTCCCACCAGGATTCCAGAGGGCTTGGCCGGCGTTCCAGAGAGCCGGGTCGGAGAAGGCTGGGAGCAACCTGGGATATTGGGGAGGAATTCCTGGCTGGGAGGGTGGTGAGGCCCTGGCACAGGTTGGGCAGAGAAGCTGTGGCTGCCCCTGGATCCCTGGAAGTGTCCAAGGCTGGGAGAGCTGGGGGGGTTCCCCTGGAGAAGAGAAGGCTCCAGGGAGAGCTGAGAGCCCCTGGCAGGGCCTGAAGGGGCTCCAGGAGAGCTGGAGAGGGACTGGGGACAAGGGAGGGAGGGACAGCACACAGGGAATGGCTTCAAAATGGAAAAGGAGATATTTGCATGGGATATTGGGAAGGAATTGCTGTCTGGAAGGGTGATGAGGGGTTGAAATGAGTTTCCCAGAGAAGCTGTGGCTGCCCCTGGATCCCTGGAAGTGTCCAAGGCCAGGTTGGAGCAACCTGTGCTGGTGGAAGATGTCCCTGCCCGTGGCAGAGGATGGAATGGGATGGGATTTAAGGTCCCTCCCAACCCAACCCAGTCTGGCATTCCTTGATTCCTGCCTTTCCCAACCTCCCCTGCTGCCGGTGCCGGATGATCCCGGTCAATCCCCCTCATTCCCTGGCTCTGGGGTGTCTTCTCCACCTGGTCCCCCCGGGAGCACCCGGGAGCTCTTTGAGGTCTGGATTCCTGCGCCTGGGAGAGCTTGGGCTGAGAATTCCACCCTGGTTTGGGATGGAAGGGACCTGAAAGCTCATCTGGTTCCACCCAGGGACACCTTCCACCAGCCCAGGTGGCTCCAACTCGGCCTTGGACACTTCCAGGGATCCAGGGGCAGCCACAGCTTCTCTGGGAATTCCATTCCAACCCCTCATCATCCTCCCAGCCAGGAATTCCTTCCCAATATCCCATCTAACCCTCTGGCACTGGGAAGCCATTCCCTGTGTCCTGTCCCTCCCTCCCTTGTCCCCAGTCCCTCTCCAGCTCTCCTGGAGCCCCTTCAGGCCCTGGAAGTGGCTCCAAGGTCTCCCTGGATCCTTCCCTTCTCCAGGTTGGACATTCCCAGTTTTCCCAGAACAGACCAGCATTTGCAATAATATTTAATTTTCAATAACATTTAAGAACTCTTTAATTCCTGCTTTAATAATGAAGCTTCCATCTCCAACCAGCATTCCCAAGGAGGAGAATCCCAGTGGCTGAGGCTCGGGTTGTGTTTGCTGAGGAGATGGAGGAGGGAAAACATGGATTTGAGTTGGATTTTCCCGGGGGAAGGGAAGGAAAAGGAGGTTCCAGGGCCGGGCTGGGCCGAGCAAGAGCCTCCAGACACATCCTGGGCAAGGGCTGAGGGGAAAATGGGAAAAACTAAAGAGGAAATAAGAAAATGAAAGGGAAAATAAGGAAAATAAAGGGAAAAGTAGGAAAATAAAGGGGAAAAAATTAAGAGAAAATAAGGAAAAATGAAGAGAAAATAAGGAAAATAAAGGGAAAACAAGGAAAATAAGTAAGGAGAAAAAAATAAAAAATAAAA